GGGTCCATGTCCCCATCAGTGATGACACTGTCCCTGGTGTCCCTGCTGCTGGAGAGGATAGCAAAGAATTTCCCTTCCTTGCCCTCCTTTCTGCTCCAGCTGTGCTGTCTGCACCTTCAACTGGTTAAATTCTAGTTGACTCAGGGATACAATGGGGATGGAGGGTGGGCCAATGGGACAGGTGACCTCAGTTTACAGGAGCATCTGAAAGAAGTCAGTCTTTGCAAATTCTAGTGCATGTAGACAAGGCTCAAGAAGGAACAGAGGTACAGATCTATGTGTGACCTTGGGCACCTTCTACCAACATGGCACCTATCTGACCTTTAACTGTTCACTCAGGCTTGTCTGATAGCTCATTGCTTTTCTCTCTAGCACATTGCAGGGACCTGCTTGACTTCAGGTAAGTTCATTGTCCCCTCTGCTCTTCTTTCCAATCTACTCTTTGGACCCAGCCTATCTTGCTAGTCTCTGTTTAATCATTTCCCTCAACTCGGTGCTGAAGCCAGTTAAAGGCAGTTTATTTAATGTTACCCTGACCTCCATGTCATTTGGAATAGACTTCTCTCTGTTAGTTTGTTTTTTATATCCTCACACGAGGATTTTTTTCCATTGATTTTCAGACAGTGAAAAGAAAGGATGGGGTGTGAGAGAGAGAATTCAATTGGTTGCCTCCGGCACACACCCTAAATGGGGCTGGGGATTGAACCTGCCCTGGAAGTACCTGCCCTTGACTGGGAATGGAACCTGTGACCCTTGGCTCCATGGGCTGATGCTCTAACCACTAAGAAAAAACCGGCGAGGGCTCCTGTCCATGTTCTAAAGCACAGAAAGAAAAGGGAGAAAGGAGGAGAGAGGGAAGAGAGAAGAAAGATGTAAATTCACAGAGAGGGAACTCAGAAGCTCCCTGGGTGCCACTATAATGGATATCATAACATCCATGATGAGGTTTTCTATTTGTAAAACACCTTTTTCTACATGGTGATGTATTTATAAGAGGAACAGAATTTTAAAGGAGAGAAATATCTTTTTGTGAATCACAATGTCCTCATTGAGGTCAGGCTGCCACTCGTGAGCCCTGTGACCTTGGTCAGGTCTCTGAGCCTCAGTTTCTCTGTGTGGAAAGTGAGTATAACCAGGCCTCCCAGCACCATCACCACCATTCCCTGTGGCCCTGTCAAGTAGCCCATTGTTTTCTGGACATTGTGACTGAGCATGCTCAGGAGACACAGCCATACACCCACGGGCAGCAGCCTCTGAAACTCGCTGTCATGTCAGTGGCCAGACTCTGAGAACCTGTACACGAACCAAACACAATACAGAGAGGAAGGAAAAGTCACTGGAGTGGGAGTGTCTGCTTACCTGTCCCTGAGCCCCATCCTGGCCCCTTCTCCCCCAGCACTTTCCCTTTCTCTTTCTCTAAATGCATGTCCTCTTGCTCCTGGTTCCTCCCCATTGAATAACTGCCAAATAGCTTTGTTTTCTGTTTCTTGTAAACTCCTTCCCAGTGCAGAGAACTTCCTGGCTGGTGTGAGGAGCAGCCGGGACCACAGAGGTGGTGGAGAGATGCCCCCCATCTGCGACCAGCTTTCCGTCGTGAACCCAGTGAGTCCCCAGGCAGTGGGCACAGGCGATGGAATGGGGCTGAGCTGGCTGCCTTGCCAGGGAAGCAGCTCTGGGTCTCTGAGGAAACCACACTGGGGTGGCAGAGGGTGTGTGTGGGCAGACATACCCGATGGGGCAATTCTGACACAACCTCTGTCCCGGGCCGGTCTCACCTGCCTCTCAGGACTGAGGGATGACATCACCCCGCATTGCACAGATGG